ACCTCCAAGTCTGGAGTAACTGAAGTTGCTGGCGTGGAAGGATCGGTCTGAGATGTGCCATGGAAGTGGCCTTGCGAAGCAGGGGGACAAAAAAAGAAGGGCTAAAGAGACTGCTAAGTGATGGTGTCTCAGGAGGAGGTTCCTCCTCCTCAGACATCGGAATCTCCAGATCAGCCTCGTATTCGCGAGATGACGAGTCCCTGGAATAGGTGGACTGAGAAGGGGAAGAAGGCGCATGATAGGACTCAGTGGCCAGCTGGTGAGTGTGTAGAAAGTTGACTGCGGCTGACCTAGTCGCTTGCGATCTGACCTCAAGGGCACGCTCTACCGCCTGTGCAATCATCTCAGCTAGGCGGTCCTCCGTGGGGAGACCGGTTCACTCGGCCTAAGCCCGGCCGCAGGAGGGGTGAAAGTAGCTTCAGGGGCCACGTGGGGAGACCGGTTCACTCGGCCTAAGCCCGGCCACAGTAGGGGTGAAAGTAGCTTCAGGGGCCACGTGTTGAGACCGTAAAGCAGAGGGCTGAGCAATGGGATGAACCCAGTCCGTGTCCCCCGGTGCAGGAGACAGGAGAGGTTCCTCTGTCGACCATATCCCCAGGGGAGAAGCAGAAGGCCCCAAGGGTAGATCAAAGGAAGGCACTTCGGCCTGTGAGGTCTCCAACCTGGCTAGTTTCTGTGCTTTAGATAATTCCTTCTCTAGGGCTTGGTGTCTCCTGCTGGCCTGTTTTTCAGCTCCCTTGGAGGTCTTTGAGATAGACCTGGCCTTGGCCTTGGCCGAGATCTTACCTGCGGCCTCTTGATTAGAGGATTTGTGGCGTTTTGCACTCAAGGAGGACGGCAAGACGTCCTTTGTGGAGGGTCTAGAATCCTCCATTCTCGGGTAGGAGACAGGAGCACGGTAAGAGACCCCTGGTATCCGGAGACAGCTATTGGTTGGATAAGAACAGACGCACGATAAGGGGCACCTGGAATCCAAATAAAGCTGTTCGTGTGGATAAGAACAGGCGCATGATAGGGGACGCCTGGAACCCAGATAGAGCTGTTAATATGATTAGGCCCAGGATCACAATAGGGTAATCCTGGTTTTCAGGGACACCTGGAGACACCAAAAACCCAGAAATTGAATCCAAGGAGGTTAAATGCACGGGAAAGAAGGAGCAAACCAGATAGAACCAATCCTGTTAAGCAGGCTGTGAAATGGATATATTACAGACCTGAGTGGCTGTGGAGATCAAATACTGACTGAGGTCTGACAGGCCTTGGAATGGTGTGGAGACACCACTGATTAGCCAGGTAAGGTTGTATTTAGAGCAGATGAAGGAAGTAGGCCTGAGGAGTCTAACAGGCCTGTTTTGAGGCAACAGTGGCCGTGCAGGGTCCCTGTGCAAAGTGAGGCTCCAGGGGCCTCAAAAGGTGGTGACAGGGGAGAAAAGGGTGCAGAGCAGGCCCCAAGATGGCAGCCTCAAGAAAGACCCAGTCCAAATAAGGGACACAAAAAGGCCGCCACGCTCAAAAAGGCCACCACACTCAAAATGGCCACCACTCAAAATGGCCACCACAACCAAAATGGCCACCACACTCAAAATGGCGGCCACACGAGGTCTGGGGGTATTGCTGCCGGCATCCCCTTACACCCTCACGAAGAAAGGCTGGAAAAGAGGTAATCAAACTGTGGAGGGCTGAGGAGCAGCACTGAGCCTAGTGCTGTCCAAGAGGAGGAGGAAGGCTGTGTTACAGAGGGGAAGCAAGTCCCCTCAGCCTCAAGCCGTTATGGTTGGAAAGCCTCTGTTCCTAGTTAAAGGCAAACAGTTCTTCAGCCAACTGAGAGGAAAAACACAGTGCTCAATACAGCACTGTCTCAGAATACTGAAGAGAATAGTGAATAAAGAATCCACCAATAGAAACTGTACCTGCCTAAGAGCCAACTTTCTATGTCTGTCTTGGGCAAGATCAAGTCGAGACTGGGACACTCTAGCCCAGGACAGGTGTTGCAACTTTGGCTGACTTGATCTGATTGGGCAGGAACACAGTCTAAACCATTGGTGGATTCTCCATCTCCAGTGCTGGAGAACTTCTCATTTTTTGCTCCAAACAGAACTTATATGCAATTTGGGGTTCTTTGTGGATTCGTGCCTTCTGTTTGAAGAACAATGGGTTCACTTAAAAATCGTGGCATTTACTTAACGATAATGGCATTCACTATGACTGCTGCATTCATTTAATGACCATTGCAACAAAAGTCTTAACATAAAGTTGTTCTCCATATTGTATTTTAAAACACCAACTGATCATTTCCCTATTCTAAAATACAGCACAGTGATATTTACTGATTTATTTTCCCAGTTTCCTTTTATGTGACTTATCCATTTACAGAAAATGGAGAAAAGTTTATAGCCAGTTCTTCTCAGGCATGAAGATCATGTCAGCACCTTGTTGTTGTTGTTGTTGTTAGTTGCGAAGTCGTGTTCGACCCATCACGACTCCATGGATAATGTTCCTTCAGGCCTTCCTGTCCTCTACTATCTTCTGGAGTCCATTTAAGCTCACGCCTACTGCTTCAGTGACTCCATCCAGCCACCTCATTCTCTGTCGTCCCTTCTTCTCTTGCCCTCAATCTTTCCCAGGATTAGGCTCTTCTCCAGTGAGTCCTTCCTTCTCATTAGGTGGCCAAAGTACTTGAGTTTCAACTTCAGGATCTGATGTCAACACCTAGAGGTCTAATTAAACTGATTTATTGTTACTCACGCCTATGAACAGGAATATTCTCAACCAATGGTTAGCATCTGCTAAGAATTAGATAAGGGTCAACAGAATTCAAGGGGGGTGGCCTTAACTTGCTTCTGGTTACATGGAGAGTCTAGGCTGATCCTTCTTTTAACTCCACCCCCAGATTCTGCCATTACTTCCCCTACAGATTTTTCTATCAATATATAAACCAACTCTGAGCTAATGCAGAACTCCTGATTAATTTGGAGAACACTGGCTCAGTACGATAAGTAAAATTGGCCATTTTTATATGTTTAGTAATAGCCTGTTAAAACTGTTCTGCCTACAATTTGAGGAAGATTTTTTTAAAAAAAAAAATTCCCATGAAAAGGTATACTTATGAAAACACATGAAATCTTATGAAGTAATTGTTTACTTTATTTCCAGGCACACAACTCCATGATTCTATTTACATGGGCTGTGAGGATTGAATACTGAATTCTAAAATATATATCATTTTCTGTCCATACTATTTAAGTAATCAAGCATTTCCAACAGATTGTTTTCTGAATCCTTAATCCTACACAATATTAGTTTCTTGATTATTCTGCAGAACAGCTCACATTATACAAAGTATGTTCTTTTTTCTAATGCAACTTATCACCACTATTTAGCTTTCACAATAAAAAAAGAGTTGTTATTGACCTGGCAACTATGCCAGCAAAGAGATGGCAAAAAACATTTTAATTTTGTCTGAAAATTTACAAAGGCATTCTGTCATTCTACATCCAACTCCTTTCTCTACTTTTTATAGCACCACACACAATGCAATGTGAAAACCTTCCAACTGAGGATGATTAGTACTGGCATTTGAATTTTTCTGACATATAAGCAATATCAGTTTTAATAACAGCCACAGATGCCACCCTTTATACAGCATGACATCTAGACCAGATTTTCAGGAATATTTTTCAACAACAGTTCAATTCAACACTTTTGAAAGGGGGTTAACCAGGTGAGACCAATTCTTATAAAAAGAGACTACTGCCAATGAAAAGTATTAAGATGTGTTCCGTATTTGTTCTTGGTATTTATAGCAAGAAATCTACTAAAGGAAATGGGAAAATAGCTGAGATTTTTGTGTGTGCTAAGAAAAGATAAAATATTAAATTGGAAATCACCTACTCAACCTCCTCTCCAGCCTTAACAAAGCACAGGCAAATTAAGCAAGAAAGTAAGAACAAGTATGGAAGGAAAATCTAGGATTAGATATGAACATTTATTTTCTCAACAGAGCTAAAATCTAAATTGCTTGCCAGGATTTCAACTGCATGTTGAAACAACCATTTTGCATTAACAGGACCCCGATGTCCCAGATTCTGATGCAAAGGATGAATTACTGTATTTGCTGTCTTAAAAGAAAGAAATAACAATACACAAAGTCTCATATACCATCTATCTATCTATCTATCTACCTACCTACCAATCACATTGTGGAACTGCCCATCTCCCTCTTAGAGGAACTGTGGGAAGTGGTTGCTTTATAGCTGTATGTTATGTAATTCCAGCAGACTATATTTCATTCAATGAAGCACAATTTAGTGCAATGTATGAATCCTGTTGTAGAATGTGCAATACTGATCTAGATGAAGAAAGAATTGTGATTACATAATGTAAGGCAACTTCTAAGTTCAATGACACTGACATTAGGATATTTTTTTTTTTTAAAAAAAGCACAACTTTCACATCATTTTTCTCAAATTCTAGAGGAACGAGTTGCTTCTTTAAATACGTTAGGTTAGCAAAAAGAATTCACAAACTTGATAACAGCTGTGAACTATAAATAAGAATTTCACTTATTTACTTTAGCAGAGGGATTAATTTAGCCATCGACAGTATACACTAAGAATCTCTCTGTATACTGATTAGTGTAGTCTTAGACTGACATAAATTTACTTGAGATGAGATTACACAAATCGTGTTAATTGTAGTGTATATGCCAGATGTGTATATGCATGTATTGGTATAACAATGATTAGGTAAACTGAGCAGCGCAATAATTTATCTTGTCACTGTAAATTAATACAAACACCCAAAGTACAAATTCAGCCAAAATTGTTTCAAAGTTTAGTCCAATGACAAAAAGCAACTGGGTTATTTTTAGAGCACAACAGGGCATAAAAATACAGCAATGAACTGTGACCTACAGCTATGCACATCCAAGCATCACATCATCCAACCGACAGTTTTACTTTAGCTGGGAGCACATCTGGCTTGGTTTCAGACTATGATTATTCAATATGACTATAGACAATACATTTAGCATCCATAGAAAGCTTTTGAAACTGTTCTCACTGGCTCAGGACAAAGTCTGTATGGAAAGGCAGAAACTCTGAATGGGCTTTGTGGAAAGAATTTCAGAGGAATCCGTGTCAGAGGGTTCTGATTCTCTGCTGATAGAAGGAATTAAGTTATTTTAAAAGCTGGGATAATACATTTTTCTTAAATGAGAAAATGAGGAATACTTGTCTGAGACAGAACATACTGGAATAAACAATCATCACATCAAGCAGAACTCATCTATAATCTTGCTGGTGAAATAAGATTCTTTTCTACAAGTACAGTAAGTATAAGAATAATTTTAATGAAAAAATTTTGATGGACTAAAATAAAAATATAAATCTCTTAAGAGTTACTCAAAATATCCATGGATTTTGGGATTCCATAAAAATTAACACATTTTAATTGCATATATTTGTTAATCTGCAAATATATATAAACTAATCTTTTTCTCTAAAATCTAGAGATTTCTCATAGCAGATGTTATTTTTATAGATATTATCTAGAAGATTTTGAATTGGTTTTTTTTTTTGTTTTGTTTACATTTAGAATGGAGTTCAGAACAAATTATATTTGGACACATACCGAATACTATAGCTTAAATTGTCTTTGTTTTTGAAAACAGAAATATTGAATTGAGATGGACTTAGCCAGTTCCTTCAAAAGCTGCTACAAAGATTAAATATACTCAGACAGAACAAAATAAGATAAAGCTAAAGTAGAATATTTTAAATATCAATCTGGTTTCTAGGAGGGATACAATTACACTTTGATTGCACTATTACTGACAGCACAATCCTATGTACACGGGTATTCAGAAATAAGCTCTACTGAGTCCATTTAAACATGGATAAATATATTAGCAATTTAAAACTGTCCGGCTATGTGCAAATGGGTAACATTACAATATTTGACTATCAAACTGAAGTGAGAAATTCCCGAGAACCAATTTTCCAACTCACCTTTTGGCATTGGTATGTGCATGTCTCCTTTTGTTTCTATTTTTTAAATAGTTGTCAAAATGCCATTCTTTGGCTGGATGAAATGGCCAAAAAGTTATTCTTACAAAAGTGGACAATACTCTGGCTCAGAAGTTGTGACAAAGACACTTCTGAGAGAACTAAAATGGCATTTGAAAGAACGTGAGCAGCTGATACAGGAGATTGAAAGTGGACACAAAATTCAAAATCCTGAAAGTGATTACAATGGAATAAGGAGCTACCAAAATTTTAAAATAACTATCCCAGCTACTGAACAACGACAACTTGAAATTCTTTGCTCTCAAATCCAACCATGTCAAACTGGAATCATACTCAGCAGGTAAATCTATTTTATCTATATAGTTATCACATAAGCTTGAGGAAAAAGGAAAAGGGACCCCATCTTTGTAGCTTCATATTAAATGTTGTTCCTACAAGAAAACAGTTTCAAATTAATTCAAAACTATTATGCTTCAAACTAAAAGAATAATTCTTTGAACTGAGTTCAAAGAAACTTACTTTCTGGCTATATATACAATCTTATTCATAAGACTCTCTGTATTGGTTCTGACATCTCAAAAAGCATTGTTAGGATTTCATTTGTTCAATTAAATAGCAAGCAATGAAGGAATTTCCAAGATTTCCCCACAAAATAGAAAAAGAATAATTTTGAGTTTGGCAAAATGATTAAATGTAACAATTCAGTACATACCACTTAAATGCTTACTACATATTCACAGCTCTAATATTTAGAGCGCTAATTTGTCTGTTTCTTTTGCTAAACATTTGCCTTCATATTCATAGACTAAATTTTTATCCTGTGCCCAGTTTTAAAATCTGCATGGTATGATTTTCATTATAAACTGATTCACATTTGTTTCATGCAATTTTGATGAGAATAAGATTGTTTTGATCACAAAACAAGTTTCTCTACAATTCTCCTACATACACACACATAAACACACACAGGTATGTGTGTGTGATATATATATTTTCAACATATATCAATCATATAGAATTTAAAACAAAACCCTGAACTATTCACTGCTTTCTCTCTGATCCTAGAAAAGGGCTCCAGGGAAATGTCAGTCTGAATCAACTTGCTTGGACAACTTAACACAGAAAAAAAAAATGCTTCAGCTGATTGTATTGCAAACATCATTCTTTCCTATTCCTTGTTATTGTTGTTTTCTTTAGAAAGCGTTGCTAAAAAGGATATTATATCTTCTCTGTCCCTACATTTTTAAGACAAGGTGAATACATGCTAATAAATTTCAAGCTATTTGCCTTTTCTTTCTTCTCTTTCCTTTTCTAGATTTCGAGAGGTTCTAGCAGAAAATGATGTTTTACCCTGGGAAATTGTTTATTTATTCAAACAAGTTTTAAAAGAATTCCTTACTAATCTTGAAAAAGAAGCTCAACAAGATCAACTGACTGATGCTTGGAACCCCAATTGCTCCAGCCAATTCGCAGCATCCAACACCAACTCCAGGAAAATGGACAAAGAGGAAATCCCAACTGTATCCAGCTATGTTGACAAAAATACACAAGGCATCCTTCCAACATTCTCCCACAGAATCCGGAATCTTCCCTATTACTACCCATCAAGTTAATTATTTTCTCTATGCTAATATTCATTCAGCTTGGCTGTAATCATTCTATAATGATTCAATACTCCAAAATTATCTTCCCATCCCACTATCCTCATAAATGCAAATTTAAACTTATTAACTACAGCTGGCATAGTCCTTAAATAAATCGGATGGATGCTTTTATACTAACTAATAGTGTCACATTAATATCTTTCTTATAGCAGACTTTTTTTGTGGAGGTTTTATTGTTTTTCTTAGCATTAATCCTGCATGACTGCAGGATCCCCTTGTTTTCAGTGTATTCACCTAATTATTAGAGCAAAGCTTAACAATGCATGATGCCATGAGGGTTTTTGTTTATCAGCTGTCTTATTTTACAGCCTGATGCTGATGTGGACTGAGAGAGTGATTAGTCCAAGGTCACCCAGCTGACTTCTGGGACCAAGGAAGGATTAGAAGCTGGATATTGTCACTCTGAGTCCACCATCTTGACTATGTTGGCTGTCTTTAATGCCATTTATTTTGCCCCTCTAAATATGCAAGAACAAATTAAAAACTTAGCAATGTTCTGAAAAATAGTCACAATGAAAAATATTGACAGATTTTTATCTTGCGATTTGCTTACAATGCAATATTTTCAAAACAAAGATATTGAACTCAAATCTGAAAACTTAAAAGGAAGAAAATAATCCATTTTGTAAAAGATCCTGTTTTTAATAGACTGGAAACAGGTAGGCTTTACAGAGGCCTAAAGCAGGTCACAACAATAGCACCATCTTTTGCCTTAAAAAAAAAAACCACTAGTAAAAGATGCCAAAGATACACTAGCACCCAAAGGACATTTTTTTTATTTTGACACACCATTGGAAAAAATGTGTACACATTTTAAGTTTTAATCACTGATTTAAGACAAATATATATTTCTCCCTTTGATTATGGCTACGATGTGCTCTCCACAATTCCCTGGCATGAGACTACATCTGGGATACTGTGGAGCAATGTTTTTCAACCTCAGCAGCTGTAAGATATGTTGATTTCAACTCCCAGAATTCTCCAGCCAGCCAATTGTGGGAGTTGAAGTCCTTACATCTTAAACGTCCCACATGAATGAGAAATACTGCTGTGGAGGATGCAAATAGAAGCCAGACTAATGCTGGAGTATTATTTGCACTGGCACAAAATTAAAACCTGAAAGAGAAGGGGAAGATAAATCTCTGCAAAACCTGCATGATAGTTTTATTTAAACCCTGCAGAAATTTAGTAAAAACTTTATCCCTATATAGAATGATTTGAGATGGTATTAATTCACAGGTTCTAAAAAAAGTGGCTATATAAGCCAAAATTCCTTTCTGCAATAGTTTGATAGAAAAGCAGATGCAGTAGTTATATTATAGCTTACAATCCTTTATTACCAAAAAAGAACTCCTTTTTTTCCTTTGCCTCCGATCCACACAATTTAGATTTTATGCTGTAATTTTTTTATGAAAGATGAAATCTAGATTCGCAGAGAACTGGGATTTTTTAAATTGCTAAAAATAGAATTTTTTTTTACCAAATGACATATATGTTTTGAAAAACCATGAATAAGGTTAGTATGAGAGAGACAGAGAGAGAGAGATTTGGATGATGGTTAAAAATCTAACTAAATGAATGATTCTGTCAGTGTCATGTCTGCAGATACAGAACTAGTCAGGCTCCTCAGGGTTAATTTCAAAGAATAGTCATAACTTAAAAATGTTAAGTCAATGGCTAAGTATGTACAACATGCTAAACTAAAAAATATGGTTGGTTAATATATGTTGTATGAATTTACTCAACAGTATTGATTTGGAAACCTCTAGTTAGGCTCTACACTAAAAGCAATTAAACAATTGTGAACATTAAGAAGTAGTAGAAAAAGAGGGCTACAAGGTGTTTCTTTCTCATTAGTATTTTTTTGTTTCACTGTCTGAAAATAATATTATAAAACTGTAAAGTTAAAGTAACAAATAAAAATATTATTTAAAAGCTGGTTAGCATACTCTTACTGTGAATAAATCTCATTTGATCTATGATGTTCTTCTTTGCAAACATGTTGACAAATGTATTATTCTTCAGGACTCAAATCTCAAATTAGAAACAGGCAGCATGAAAAAAGCACAATGTTAATTTATGTAAGATTGAAATGTTTTTCTCACTGTTTCTCCATAAAGAGTTCTCATTTGCTTTATTTACAGTTAAAATACTTATTACACTACTACAACAACACTGTTATCATTTAAACAGGCTAACATTACCAGGATAATATAGCTATTCAATTTATTTTCAATTCTCTCTATAAAGAGACATGAGATTATAACCATGAGTACTCTTAGAATTTAAAATTCTATAAACAGAGTTATAGGCTCAAATGAACTGTGAGAACTGTAGGCACACTGTACAGTAATTTTACATTTACAGAGCAAGAGGTCAATGAAAATGGTTGTTGAGATGGATAGATCAAATCCAAGATCTATCTAGCTCAGGGTTTATTCTCACAATAGACAATTTATTTCTATGAACAGACATGGGTGCAAGAATTCTCTAAGAATTACTAGTATGCTGTATATGGTGCTCATAATGGCTGAATATGCACATTACTGTACTATAAACCCTACTGTGGCTTGGATTTAGTCTGCTGTGCTGTGTGTACATAACCAATTGTATTTTATTAAATAAATCATCAGAAAGTTATGGCTTATCACTATATTATGTGTGAACACAATCAATGTATTTGGTAAAACTGAAGTTCTGGCAAGCTGAGAGTGATAAACTTTAAAAATGTCTAAAACCAAAACCTTAGACAAATATGCTGCTTGAAGTTTATATAATCAGGCCAAGTTGAGCCCAACTCAGAAAGAAGCAATTCCCACTCTTATTTCTCTCTCCTTTAAACAAGAAAACAGCACTATATTATTTGACGTTCTGACCATTTATATAGATTGTTTATAGACATACGTATGCATTTTTTTATACACACACACTTTTCGGGTAGCACAGAGCTTATTTTTTTTAGTTCTGTAGTGCTGTTTGTAGAAGCTAGTTGTAATTCAGAAACAAACGCGTTGCAGCATCTTCAAACTTATGTTTGAAGATGCTAATGTTTGTATATTATACAAACATTCGCAATTTGAGGCAGGCCACGATCAGATTATTACGGGCGGGAAGGGGGGGGGGATATTCTATTTCTAAAAACAAATCGTGCTTAATACTGTTGGTAGAACTTGTGCAGTGGTGAAATCCATCCTATTGATGGATGGGGGCTTTATTTATACCATTAAACAGCAAAGAACCTGGGCAGTTTTGGACTTTTTTAAGCAGCTTATACTATGACCCGTGCGCTCGATGGAGAACTAGTTTTGCTGTGGGTCCCGGCCTACTTACACATTAGCAGCAGGCGCCGTCTCTTTCACAGATTCCTCGAGATGATGAGCAAAGCCAGCAGCCGGGAGTTCGCCCCCCAAGAATTCCACCCCGCTGACCGCTTTGCCAATTGTGAACCAATCGTTGATCTGATCTACGGTGAGTTTTCGCAACATGGCTCAACTTTGAGAACCCGCCAACAAAACTATCCTACCGTTCGGCCAGCCAGCCGACCTGCGCTGAACTAATTAGCGGGCCCCGCCCGGCTACAGCCACGTGCCCAATTAGACTTCGAGATTCTTGCATTTGTTCAATAAACCTGAAACTAGCGTGGTTGCTTTCTACTTAGCTCGATTTCGGGTTCTTAGTTTGGTATTGTATCTCCTAGGCACGCTTACCTGAGAGTAAGATGCACTGAAAATAAGGAGCTTTATTTCTGAGAAGAGCGCAGGATTGAGCTTGGAAGTAATTCCGATTGTATTCAGTGTAGACTACCGCAGTCTTATAGTAAAACCACACGCAAATACGGAGTTAGGTTTGCATGTTCTCCTTGATTATTTTAACCAGTTTCCTTTAATATACTAGATTCGTTGAACCATAGACTATGTGGTTATGTAATGTTCACTCAACACACTATTGTAAAATACAATGGGCTGCTTGGTGATTTAATGTCTTGGGAATTTACGAGTACTCAAAGTTAGTTAGGGTTGCAATCTATATCATACCACTTGGAGATAGATAGATAGATAGATAGATAGATAGATAGATAGATAGATAGATAGATAGATAGATAGATAGATAGAAGCTATCCATAATGTGATCAGTGGTAAGTGAATTCCAATTGCATAAAATTGCAGTTAGATGTGCCTGTGTAACTCATTAATTGGGGTTAACTGGCCTATAGGTTAACCCAAATGGATGCATTTGCACAAATAAACTATAAGTCAACTATTCCAGCTGAGCCATCAACTAACAATCACCTAAATATGAGCCAGCAGTGTGCTGCAGCTGCCAAAAAGGCCAACACAGCGCTAGGCTGCGTTAACAGGGATAGAACCAAGATCATGTGAAGTGTTAATACCACTTTACAATGCCTTGGTAAGGCCACACTTGGAATACTGCATCCAGTTTTGGTCCCCACGATGTAAAAAAGATGTTGAGACTCTAGAAAAGAGTACAGAGAAGAGCAACAAAGATGATTAGGGGACTGGAGGCTAAAGCATATAAGGAAAGGCTGCTGGAATTGGGTATGTCTAGTTTAATGAAGAGAAAGATGATGGGGGACATGATAGCAGTGTTCCAATATCTCAGGGGCTGCCACAAAGAAGAAAGAGTCAAGCTATTTTCCAAAGCGCCTGAAGGCAGGACAAGAAGTAACGGGTGGAAACTAATCAAGGCGAGAAGCAACCTAGAACTAAGGAGAAACTTCCTGACAGAACAATTAACCAGTGGAACAACCTGCCTCCAGAAGCGGTGAATGCTCCAACACTGGAGGTTTTTAAGAAGAGACTGGACAGCCATTTGTTCGAAATGGTATAGGGTTTCCTGCCTGAGCAGGGGGTTGGACTAGATGACCTCCAAGGTCTCTTCCAACTTTACTATTACTACTACTACTACTATTAATTATTATTCACATTTTAGCTTTGTTTTATATCTCCCAGAACTCCTAACCAGGAATTCTGGAATTTGTTATCCCAAGCTACATTACAACTTCTGGCTTTAGCATTTCAAAACTACACTGCATATTTGATAGAGTTAGAAGGAACTTGTGACTAGGGTGGAAGAGATCTTCTGCCAACATCATGCAGTGCAACCTGACAATAGATGAGGGGGAATTTTGCCAGATTCTTGTTCCTGCTGCACCATGCAAGCCAAGGCATATCAGCTGGCTGTTTTTTAACCCCAAATTTAGCCTTTATTTTTTAAAAAAACAGACTTATTATTAAAGGAACCCACATAACATCTAATGGAATTAAATGGCTGTGCTGGGAAGCAGGATTCTGTCTCTTCATCCAACCTCCTGGTAGGCTGATCTCACTTTCAAAGCCTGGTTCACTTTAAAAACCTTATCAGCTTGCAGACATGATGGGGACAGGAGAAGTACAACTTGAAAGAACAGTTTCCCCATGTACCAAGCCAAGCCATCTAAATGATTGTCCAGGGATCACAATGTAAAAATTGCCCAGTAGAGCTTATCTGACCATCCCTCCCCCTCTTCCAGGAATCACCAGAGCATGCTAATGGAATAATTGGTGAAACATGTTAAGATTGCATCAAGCACAAAAAAAAAATGTGTTAGAATAAGAGGAAAAATACACCTGTGCAATTAAGTAGACCTAAGTCTCAGATATGGGAAGGGTATCAGTTGAAGATATTACAGATAAGCCTTGTTTTAACAAACTTTTGTTTCACAACCATTTGAAGTTACATCACTGGAAAAAAAATGATGTAGCATCCCCATAGTCACATGATAAAAATCCAGGAGCTTGGCAACCAGCACATATTTACAACACATTAAGCATCTCAGGATCATGTGATCACCATTTTGCAACCTTCCCAGCTGGCCTCTGATCAGCAATGTCAAAAGGAGAAAGTGGATTTGCTTCATGACTATATGGTTCACTTAACATCTACAGTGATTCAACTTAACAACTACATGGGGAAAAGGTAAAATTGGTTGTGACTCACTTAATCACCACCTTGCTTAACAATGGAAGTTCTGGTCTTAATTGTAGTTGTAAGTTAAGGATCACCTGTAACATGAGAACACAGCAGAAAAGGGTATGTTTGTATTGCACTTAGTGTTTTTTTGATGGGATTCTCAGGCTGCTGATCAAGCAAATTGGTATCTGGTCTTAATAGAAGAAGGTGCAATGTTAGGGAAGTTTGATCTAGCATGTTGTACCCAGTTCCCCTTATTTTTAGAAATCCACAAAGCTGCAAGAAATAATTTAGCTTAATTATTTCAATATATATTTACAATGTTGAGAATGTAGATAGCAATAGCACTTAGATTATATACAGCTTCATAGTGCTTTAGAGCCCTAAGTGGTTTACAAATGTCACCATAGTGTCCTGAACAATCTGGGTCCTCATTTTGCCAACTTCAGAAGGATGGAAGGCTGAATCAACCTTGAACCCCATCAGGATTGAATTCCTGGCAAGAAGGAGAATGAGCCTGCAATACTGCATTCTAACCACTGTGCAACCATGCCTCATGGCTAACAGTCATATGTGTATTCCTACCTCCAAAGATTCACTAGCAAGCTTACCAGTATCAAAAGGCTAGCTGCAGAATTCACCTGGAGTTATTAGGATATAAACAAGGTTGCAGTTTGTTTTGTAACTCTAATTTAGACTTTGTTCATCTATAAACTAGTATTTAACTGCAAAATGTCCTTAATTAGTACTACAGCTGTTCCATTATAATACAGTGGTACCTTGGTACTCAACTGCTTTGAAACTCATCAAATTTGGTACTCAAGGCATCTTGACGTGAAAAATTTATCCCTGTATTGTTTGTTTGGTACTCGATGCATAAGTTAGAACTTGTCAGTGTCGGCTGCCTTGTGACTCATTAAATTATTCCTTATGGGAAAAAATTGTTTGGTATTCATTGTTTTTGATACTCATCGCAGCTCCCTGAACCAATTAAAGATGAGTACCGAGGTACCACTATAATTTGTTCTCTGAAACTTTATACAATTGTTCAGGCATTCCAGCTAGATTTACACAAAATGCTAAAATAAAATGTTAGCTAATTTGCAATTTAGCATGTATATAAATCCAGTTAAAATAATGAACCGTGGTTCAGTTAATTACTAATTAGTGTTCTGCAATGAACACAGCTTAACAGTGCATTTCAAAAATGATAAGTCTATAGAATTTTACAAAACCTTTCAAACTACATTCCATAAACTTCAATAAGATCAAGATTAAAATTTAAAATGGAGTCTTCCTATCTTTTATTGTTAACCATCTGAATTTAATACAAGCCTCAAACTATGTCAGCAACATGTCTCAACAGCTGAAATAAATTCAACAGCCATGTCTCCCCTTCCTCCTATGTAATATTCACCTGCCAAACTAGACATCCTGCAATCTGTCAGATCTATAACTAACCTTCAGATTTATGATAAAGACAAGCTCTTGCATAGGTAAGTTGAAAATATAGGAAGTGAATTTAAGAGATTTATGAATCTGCATTTCATGTTATGCATGCTTAAACAGAGGTAAATCCTATTGAGAGTAAAACTACGTAATATTTTAAAGACGATGTGCATTTCCCCCTAAGAAGTGTTTATTTTAAGCTGTGTTCTCCAACTTGAGGCCTTGCAGAAGTGCTGGATAATCCTAACCACACTAAAACCAGTATAATGACAGTTAACTGGGATGAGTTATTCTGCCATGCCTCAGTATTAAAAATGGTGCAGATCATGGAATAAAAATGGTATTTAGTTTATGAAGGATCTAATTGAGTCTTTCCCAATCTGATACTGGATTGGTCTGAGTTAAGAGTTCTTTTGGAACACACTTGTGGCCTATTATCCAGTAGTTTGCCACAGTGACCAACTACAAGCCTTTGAAAATCCACAAATAGAACATGAAAACCAAAGCCCACCCTTATTAAATATATTTCTCTAGCCTAACAAACAACATCCAGTTTGTAGGATTTTTTATGTGTTAACCATAAACTACATTAAGTGCATCTAGTCACCTCTGAATCTTCCATGAAATTATGGCTGCCTAAGCCATAGCTTAGATCCTAAATATTTACTTAGGAATAAATTCTATTGAAATCAGTAACTTTTGAAGTGAAAAGCACATACTTTAAGCTTTAATTGTAAACCGAAACAATTACAGTTCTACGCATATTTTTGGGAGGATTCACACTGAATTTATATGAGCGTATCATTGAGGAATACATTTTAAACCAGTATGAATTATCCGGGACAGAGCAGACTATGCAAAGCGTTAGTCACGTGGGCAGCCCGATCCTATTCAAGTCGACTTAAAATATAGCGCCAATTAATCAAATAAAACAGAATTAATCCGCCTATTAGCGCCCTTGGTATTTCAACCTCTCTTGGATATACTCTATTGAATTTGGCAGGCTTATTTTCCTCTACGCACTGAATCGAACTGAAATCATAAATGTATTTTCTAAACTCAAGTGGTAGTTAATGCTCCTGCCCGTGGAGAAAGAATAGGGCTTCCTTCCACAACGGTGTCTGTGCCCCGAATTGTCCCTGGTATTCGGAAGAAATGAAATCTGCAGAAAATAAGCCAGACCAAGGTGTCTTTTTCTGCAACGTCCAGCATTTGCGCGGCGGGAAGCGACTCTTTAGCGTAAGCCTCCTGGACAGGGGGTGCTATAGGCGGCCAAAACCGGATGAAGAGCCGTTCTAGGCAGACGCTGCTTCCGTACCCAGTAGGCCTTGCGCCATTCTTACTCTACAATCATCCGTTTGTGACCTTTTATTCTTAGGGTTTCTCTGACTTTGAAGGTGGGTTAGATGTTATCTTTTGGGAATAGCGGGTTGGCTAGGAGATTTTTTTTTTAACTTTTGCTGTCTAGCAACGCCCCATCCTGTGCCTTGGGAGTATCCCCATCGCTTGCGAACGAAATTAACGCTCCGTTGTTGGTGAAGGTTACCGGGATGGGTCTAAGGAGCATAAAGACACAGTAGTCCGAGGATCTCCAACTCCCGGTCCGTGGACCAACACTGGGCCGTGATATGCCAGCAACCGGGCCGCGCAAGCAATCGAAGCCCCATCCACGAGATGCAGGAAGCATACAAAACCTCCTCCCTCCGGGCCGCGGAAAAACTTCTGCCTGCGTAGTCAGAAGCCACTTCCAGCTATTATGACAGAGGACTTACTACCTCACTTTCACTCCTGCCCTACCTTATAGTAGGAGAGCCTTTTAGTCCATGATGGCAAAACTCGAGTCTGGTAGCATTTTACCCAACTAACAAGCTATTTAAAGGAATACGGTTTCCTGAGCTGTAGTTCCCACCTGTGTCTGTTAAAAAGTATATGAGATTCATTGCCACTAGAGATGAAAATTCCTATTTTCTATACCCTTTGTTCTCTTTGGGGAAAAGCTGTACGAATTTATTAGGTGTGATACCTACATGAAGCTATTATAAAAACTGTAGATTGGCGTTGCCAGTGTGGCATACAGCTGTGTTGTATTTTGATTTCTGTCCTGGAGATATTTGTTGTAGGATGGGAAATAATGTATAAAGCTACCTAATTCTGAGCCTTTGCTCATATAGGATCTAAGCTATGGCTTGGGCAGCCATAGTTTCATGGAAGATTTAGAGGTGACTAGATGTGCTTAATGTAGTTTACGGTTAATGCATAAAAAATCCTACAAACTGGATGTTGTTTGTTAGGCTAGAGAAATATATTTAATAAGGGTGGGCTTTGGTTTTCATGTTCTATTTGTGGATTTTCAAAGGCTTGTAGTTGGTCACTGTGACAAACTACTGGATAATAGGCCACAAGTGTGATCCAAAAGAACTCTTACTTTTTTGGGTAAATGAAGAACAAGTTAAATGCATTCTAAATAAAGCCTTCATATTCAAAGTGTTTTTTTTAAATAAGAGTATCTCTGGTCACTAATAAAATACAAGTTTGAATATAAAAGGCATGTAAATTTAATAAATTATTAAGCACTAGTTTACTTTCAAATACTGTTCATTTTGTTCCTACTTACAGATGCTGGCTAATATTTCAAAGTTGTGGGCTATGTATAAACCTTCAAAAGAAATTCAGCCTATTGTGTTTTCTGCAATCTTGACAGGATACCTTTATTACAAAATTGAATTTGGAGGTAAATTTTATATGCTTGTTTTTTTGGAATTTAGTTACATATGCAATTTTGGATTTATTTATTAGATTTTTATCCCATTTTTATTACTTTATAAGTAACTCAAGGTGGTGAACATACCTAATACTCATTCCTTCTTCTATTTTCCCACTAGCAACAATCCTGTGACATGGGCTAGGCTGAGAGAGGGTGACTGACCCAAGGTCACCCAGTTGGTTTACATGCCTAAGGCATGACTAGAACTCACTGTGTCTTGGTTTCTTAGACCAGCACCTTAACTGCTACATTAAACTGTGTGCAGTCATTCATGCCCGTGTCATCTCTCACTTGGATTACTGCGACACACTCTATATGGGGCTATCCTTGAAGACTATTAGGAAGCTACAACTACTACAGAAAGTTGCATAGATAGTTCTGAAGGCTCTTTGGGTGGTATATTTAACACTGCTGTTTTGTGAGCTGCATTAGTTGCCAATCTGCTTTCAAATCTAATTCAAGGTGTTGATTGTCACCTTTGAAGCCCTGCATAATACGGGTGCAGGGTATCTGAAGAACTATCTCACCGTAATAGGATTCACTCCAGCAGAAGAAGCCTACTTCAGATCCCATCTGCCAAAGAATTTCGCCTGGAGGAGTCTGCTGTGGCCCCTCCTTTTGAAATATGCTCCCATTGGAAGTGAAATTGGCCTTCCAGAAGAGCCTTAAAACCTGGCTGTGTCAGCTGGCTTGGGGCCCCAATAGGGGCACTTTATGCTGGGGTAGCTGACAGGGTAGAAAAAAAATCCCCACCCCCTGTCACCTCTTGTTTTTTTTAGTCCCCAAGCCATGTGAATTAATATTTTAATTCCTGAATTGCATTGTTAGTACTGCCTTACAGTGATTTCAACCAATCCTTAATAAAACATTATCTGATGTGTTCAAACAAAAGGGATACCCAATTCATGGATATCAAACTTGTCTGAAATTTTGCAAAAATAATAACTTGATCTTATTTCTTCAAATTCTTATAAAACCAGGTTACTAATTTGGGCCTAATATACATTCTTCAGCAATCTATAATAAATGTGAGATTTCAAGGCATTAGTGACATTAGTGTCAAAATGTCCAAAAAATAAATTGCTAAATTGAATAAATAACCCCAGATCATTGAAAGGTAATCTAAACTTTCAGTGAAATTTCTTGATACAGATTTTAAATTATATTTGACATTCCTATTGACAAACGCTGTGTGACAGCTTTTTTCCCCAATACGGTACAATATAGGCTTAGGCATATTTTTCCTGAAAGTTCCTGTCCCAGGTATTTGTATATCATAAAGTATAATTGTGAATTAAAATAATCAAGATTTTTCATCTATGACTACAACATTTCTGGTATTAATCAAATTTACAGATTTTTTTGTAGTTATATTTGCCTTGACTATTCAGGTTCTTTTATACATTTTTTTCTTGAAATATAGCTTTGTCCTGATATGACTTATGCCTCTAAATATATTAGAAATTATTGTTTGGTCTTTTGATAATGAAATTCTTTTATCCTTAGGTGAACATTCAGCTGAAAGAAGAGCAGCGGAAAACAAAAGGAGGAGTAAGTGCTAGCATAGTTGGACATATATATAGGTCTGTCATAATTACATTTCATTAATTGAGATCTTAACGTAGAACTTGACAGTGGTTCTGCATTAGTCATTAGTACCAAGTGTGTACATAAAGCTCTGAAAGTAATACTTCTTCTGAATCTACAATTTTCTTAATATGTACATCCATTAAATAAGATTAAGATTTTACTTGGCAAGTATCTAGGCTAGCTGGCTCCTTTCCCAATGCTAGAAACTAAAATAGTATAGTACATGGAAATGTAAAGAGTACCTCTAAAAACTGTCAGTGACTTTTATGATTGGGTCTCCTTTCTTTTACTTAATCCATTAAAAAACTCCCTTTTTACAGCCCTGTAATCCCTTAATTTGGGGTAGAGTCAGGGCAACTGGATGGAGTTGAGCATTTACTGACTGGATGCACTTCCTGACACCTCTATTTAACCCATTAAACCGATTAACCAAGCCAGTTTGTTAAATTTATATGCTGTTCATTTCGCTATCGAAAGCAACTCTTAATAAAATATTCAGGGGACAGATAAAAATCATCTCTTGTCAATTTGCTAAGCTGAGTGAATCATGCTATAATAAAAGGAAGCTACTGGTATTTTTTAGGTTTAAAATCTGGATCCAGTCCATTTGGTATTAAATTGTGCTTGTCACCATTTTAGTGTCTTATCTATATAACATTTTAAACTCTCAAAAGCATGTTTTTCCACTTTTGTGATTTTTTTTTTTTGCAGATAGCACTATTTCTGAATATACATTATTTTCATTTGTAATTAATTTAAACTTATTTAAATTAAACTATCATCTTTCACAACATATATACCTGGAAGAGTGTAGCTGCAATTCTAGCTGTTGCCTTGCAGCTGGTGTTCACATTCTTGTGTTGTAAGCAGTCATAACATGCTAGAAAAAGCAAATCTGTTACTTGGTTGAGGCCTGTTAAAACTGCCACTAGATAACAGAAGCATTGATTATAATTAAATAGTTATTGGGTCCTCCATATGCTGGCTCTGACAGCTGTGTATTAAGGAAGGGAATGGATAAAGTGTAAAAATGCTGTAGTTTATAAGTATTACGAAGTGAAACATATTGAACACAGTGTGATTGATTCCCAAGTAAACACGCATAGCATTCTGCTATTTTATTTAGATTGTAGCATTTTATGTATTTGCATAAAATAACACTTAGATTTGCATATCTATCCAGGCTTGAGTTATATTTTCTGTATCAGAATAATTGATAGATGTTATACGTAGTCATACTAAAGGTGTCTAAAATAGTGAGTTGACTGCAACATCATCATATGAATGGGCTAGTTAGGCTGCTCTTCCTTCCCACTTCAATCTCATATGTGTAACCTAGGTCTGCTATGAAGAGTCTACATGGCACTCTGGAGCAGAATTGGGGAGTAAAATTGAGAAACATTTGGTGGAATCTTCTGATGAGAAAATACAATTAGGTAGTGCCCAGTGGAAAATGTAATATTATAATTGATTGGTTGCTGATTTCCCCCATCATTCTAAGTCATATTTTTTCAGTAAAGTAGAAGTATTTTTTTAAAAAATATTTATTGTTGGTCTAATTAAGATTATGTTATTTCAGGAGCCAGGCCTGTGCATCATTAAAACTTGCACTCTTCAGAATGAATTTTTGAACTGTCATCTTAGCTGTAAACAAGTTGAGCTACATCATGGGAAACTACTTATTCTGTAAGCAGTGTGCATCATTAGCACAATGGTAATCTGGCATCTGTCATGGAGTGAATAAATGTGATGTTCAAGAAGTCTGTCGAATATTTTATTAATGAATGTATATTTCCTAGATGTAATTAATATTTCTTATTTATTTATTTATTGGACACTTTCCTTCACTGCTTTTAATTGTTGGTCTTTAATTCTCCAGCTACCAAAGTGGCAAACAGTACAACATAATGACATGGTATAACACAGTTATATAAAATATAACGCTGTATTTAGCACTCCTAGGGTTCAGATTCCAGGATACATGACAGAACTTCAAAACAATGTAGTAGATAAAGCATGTTAAAGACAGCAGGATCTATAATAACATAAGGCCATAAAATCTAGCCAACCAAAACCCACCAAAATAGTTTCTATTTAAAGAACCTAAGGAAAATGTTTGCCAGCTGAGACAGCTACAAAGTCAAGTCCCAAGGGAAAAAAATCTGAAGGCTGATTTCATGCTTTTAGATAGTAGCAGTGGATTGGCTCTTTCTATCCTTTCAGAGAAGTAGTATGTCAGTAAACTATCATATGTGCTAACCCTGGGTGCCTAAAACTGAACATTGATGAAAAGGATAAAACTGTAAAGTTGCATGAAATGTGTAGGTGTGAGGGGAGATAAAACCTGAGGGGAATGGGAGCTATTAGACTATCAATTACATGCTAGATTGCAGATAAAAACGTGTAGCATGCATCCATGTTGGAAAGGCTCTCAGTCACATACATAATCAGGTACTCCCTGGCTTTGTTGGAAAGAAACATTTGTGTATAATTTTTCTTTAGACTTTCACAAGTCTTTCCATATCTCTTCTGAGATTCTAGCAGGCTGCTGCCATTCTTGGTCCACCTAGAACAATCAAACAACAGATGAGATAAAAACAAAATAGCAAAAAGAAAGTTTTCAGTAAAAATGTGATCAAGTTATTTTCTATTTTGTTACCACATCTTAAGATTCTATGATAATGAAGTTAGGCTGAGTTGGCTTTACAGTAGAGTTAATCTTTATTTTTTATGTATTTGTTTATTAAATTTATTTGCGGCCCATCTCAACCACAAGGTGACTCCATCAGTTTGGTATCCATGTTAATAGCACCAATTCTGAAGAAACGTATTTAATGAGTTTTGCATAATCACAATATAAAGTGCACAGTATCTAAATTATATTGTTCATTTACTTAGTAAATATAACTTACAACTCCCAATAAGCACTTCTGCTATGAGAATAAGAATGTCTGGGATGTAATCAATATTTGATTTTTGTATATTTTGTTGAAATAGAGTGGATTAGTTTTAAGAATATTCTTATATGGTAAGTGTCCTTGACCTCTAAACCCTAGATTTAATTTCGCACCATAAGGGAAACATACACAGATATATTTTTGTTTTGTTTTGATTTGTTTAGAGATAAATTTCTGTATCGTTCAAGTTATAAATCTGTTGTACAAATACACTGTGAAAAACAAACCTAATAAGCATTGATGTGTGGTGGACTGAATATTGTGTACAGTACTCTCAGCTGTAAATACAATTCTGCCCCATGGTAGCTTCAATTGGCAGCCCTTAAGAGTCAGTTTTGTCAGTATTAATACCAATATAAAACCATGAAACTGCCTAACTTATTAATTTTGAATTAGCAATTTGATCCAGCAAAATAATGCAGTTTTGTCAATAGAAACATTGTAGTAGCTGCTATAATTAGGACATATCCATATTAACATGCCCATTCTTTTTCCTGGAACCCTCCCGATTTTTGGGGGAAGGGGGCAGGCTCTCAGCTATAACAAACCACAGCCAAGCATTATGAGAAATTCAGCCTAGAGGGCAATGTGTAGTCATGAAAGTAAGATTCTGATCCTGTAAGCTACTTTCATATGTTTTGTAAGGCTAATTTTGTAAGACATCTCTTTCCAGGTTGGGAAAAGGTAAGATTAAATTCATTTTTGTGACCAGTTTGATTTCAACTGCTGCTTTCAGATTTGAAAGCCATTTGTGCCTTTATGTTTATGCTGCTCCATGGCCATTGGATGGAAGGGTTTTGATGTTACATAAACAAGGTCAGTCATCCAAAAGCTCTGCATTTAGCTTTAAAAGAAGTGTAACAATATGCCTTCCTTTAATGTTTCCTACCTGATGGATTTCTGAAGGGCCATATTCTCCCAGGCCTTGGGCTAGGTTAGCTGGAGCCTCTCACAGAATGTCGGTAAATGTGCTGCCAAGTAGATTCATCATCTTGCTCTTTTTATTCTTTTCTAGTTTACCTTTTGATCAATATTCTTACCATATTGCTTTTATTTTGCTTATTGTGAGCTATCCAGAGTCCCTTAGAAGTTAGGCAGTGTCAAATCAAATAAACAATTGGAAAATCTTTTTAAAACTCTTAGGAATATGTTTGTAAGTTGGCTGTTGTTTTAATACTATTCAGATATTGTTTTGCTGGGTTTTTATTATATTTTCTGTAAATGAACAGAAGACATAGATTAGGAAATGGTTGGCAGGTGAATTATTTTAAATTTTACAAATACACAAAATGGTGAGATAAGAAATGCAAATCACCCGTAGATATTAGTAATACTTCGAAAGATGTGATTTTTTTCCAACTTTAGCATTGTATGCACATAATATGTGAAACCACACATACAATTAAAAATAATCAACATCACTTTCTTATTCCCTAATTGTACCTGCAATTAAAATAATTAAATAACATAATTACAATTTTGGCCAAAAGGGCTAAGATCAATAATGCAGTAACTTTGCAGCTTCATCTGCTTGTATGTATTCTGGTAAATTTGAAATACAGAAATCTTATGACTCAAGTAGATTGTTACATATAACAAATACCTTCTGCTGTGTTTGTATCTCTGAAATAAAATAAAAATTCAGAGATACAAAGCACTATATTTTAACAGTAGAAAAAGGCAGGCAGATTATGTTGCCATCCTGTTTATTTAACTAAAAGAAGAGCACACAATCTCTTTAGCAAACTTTCAATCAGTACAATTCTACTGTATAATTCAACAGAAGAAGTTTAGATAAATTGAAGTAAATGGATATTTCCTAAATTACATGTTTTTTAAAATATCCTCTTTAAATATACAAGTAAATTGATACTTTAAACAGTCGTGCATTTAAGCCCAAAAGAGGTAAAAATAGAAGACAAGTACAAAGAAGTTTATGGAAATAAGGTTTATGTGCCAATTCTAATTGTTTTTTCTACTCACCTCATGCTAGGAATTTCAATATTTGTTGAATCAATTATTAATTCATCTAAAGGGATGTCTTAGAGTTTTGAGAAGTTGTTATCTATGTTTCGAAATCCCTCAAAATGTAATCTGAATTGTATTCAACTTTAAAATTACAATATGAGGCAGGAAATTATTACAGTAGCTCATTGTTTATTTTGTGTTTAATCACTGGAAGCTAATTCCCTTTGTAATATTTATGAACATATACATATGTCCTGTCACTGACTACATAGTATAGATTTTTTCCCCCAAAAGTTTCCCATCCAACTTTTGTTTAGCTTTAGCTCTATAGCAGCATCCTGTCCCTCAGGTTATGTTATGTATTACAACAGCCAGGTGTGAGGTTATCTTCACATGGATAACATAACCATGATTTATTTTCAATGTAATTGTTGAGTAAAAAGGCATTGCATAGTTTCTGCTGTTACCATGGATGTCTTAAAATTGTTTCTATTTATAGGTAGGTTGAAAATCATTCTGATTGCAGTAGAATATGCCTGGTTACAATATAGTTGGCAATTTGTGATTTAGAATCTTGTATGACTAAACCCCAGGACTTGATAGTCTCAAAGTACATAATACAACCATTTGGTAAAAGCTAAGGAGGTTTCAATATGATCAGTAATCTTATGGAAGTTCATTTAACCCCCCCCCCCACATCATCTTGAATTTTATAAGAGGAAAAACATGGATATAAATATTTCCATATTTTATGATTTCACTGATCTACAAATTTGGGGAAATTATCGACCTCCGAGATAAACTGTGTTACTGGTAATTCTTACATATTTTGATTAGATGAATTAAAAAAACAGGTGATAAAGGTGCGGTTGGCTAAAGGTTTCAAGATATTTCACAATAAAGATTTATACACAGGCGAGTATATTTGCCTGCAAGGGAGAGAGGTGTCTCATGATCATGTTCATGATGCCTCGTAACTTCTCACCAAAGTACAGTAGAACAATGAAAATGGTACTAAATGGAAGTGTATAAATTTATCTTTACTTTGAGACTAAAGATTATTACCTAATTAATTTATTGTTCTTTTATTGCAAGGTACATTTGTCATGGTCAGATCTACAGATCATACAGTTACATTTGGTGGCTTGTGAAAGTATTGTTGCATAACATTTCCCAGGAACAGTTGTGTGATATTTTCCCTCAGAAGTTAAGATGGCACAAAACTGTGCAAACAATGCAGATAACTTCTGCTACATTTGTGGCGAGGTTACATTTGCATCTCAAAAGTCCAGTATGACGGCATTGGTAAAAAAAAGGCATACCACCTATATTTTGGACACAAAATAGGGGATCAGGACAAGAGTTGGGCCCCTCATTATTGTTGCATTACATGTGCAAATTATCTGCGTCATTGGCTAAACAAGAAGAAAAAGTCCATGCCTTTTGCCATTCCAATGGTGTGGAGGGAACCCACCAATCATAGTAGCAACTGCTATTTTTGCATGGTTCCCCCAATTGCAAAAGGATCTCAGGAAAGAAGTGGATTATGGAATATTGAAACATTCCATCTGCACTATGTCCTGTTCCTCATGGTGAGGACTTGTCAATTCCAGATCCACCAGAATCCTGTACTCCAGACTCAAATGATGAGAAAGATGATGAACAGGATGGAACTGGTCTGAGGCCATTGATGTCAGTGGACCCAAACTTTAGCCCACTGTATGTTCCTCCTGAACCACATCTAATTTCACAGAGTGAACTAAATGACCTGATTAGGTATTTGGAATTGCCTAAGAGTAAGGCAGAGCTATTGGGCTCCAGATTACAACAGTAGA